AAATACGAAGTTATATGTTTAATGCATCTCAACAAATATCTCGATATTTAATTGTAAGTGCATGTATTGATCGATTTGCTCTTTGTTCAACAAATGCTACTCTTCGACAATTCTCTCGTGTACAGGTTGCTCGTCGTTGTGTGATTCCTTTTATCATTATTATTTGGCATGTCTTTCCAATTTATATGCTAGTCTTCAATAGTGCTGTAAACACTAGCTGTGTGTATCCAGGTGTATCGGCACTCGTCAATAGTATCTATGGCATGTCCTTGGTTGGTTTTCTTCCACCTACTTTGATGCTTATTTTTTCTACACTGACAATTCGTAATCTGACATCAAGACAAGATCGTCGACATGTTCATCCACTTCCCATTGTCAACATTAATGTATCAACAGATAGAGATCGAAAACAACAGAAAAAAGATCAACAAGTTTTTGCAATGTTAATCGTACAAGTTATTGTTTATGTTATTACGACAAGTATGGGCAGTATCAATTTAGTCTATTCTGTTGCAACAGCATATATGGGAATAGAAAAATCGATTGAACGAAAAGCTATTGAAAGTTTTATTTCATCTGTTACTGGAATATTAAATTATACGTCTCCTAGTTTATCATTCTATTTATTTCTTCTTGTTTCAAGTCTTTATCGAAAGGAAATGAAATTAGTCATACGGCAGGTGTGTACTAGGTGTGGCTTAAGATGGATTGTTAATAATAATAGTGTTGGTAATAGTCGTGCAACACATCATAGTAGGCTAGGTGAATTTACCCGGCAACCAACTGTAATACCACTCCCTGTCATAAGTACTCATACTCGAGATTAGTATGCATTAATTATCAAGTATTGCATAATAAATGAGATTTTCTGTATGTTAGCTATAACTTTTTCTTTTCAACCAATAGACCTTATTGTTTTTTTAAAAGATGTGCCATCAAATTCAGAAAAATACGAAAACTAGTTATCTTGGAAGGTGCCAATTAGTTTTGCAAGCAAATTTTTCTTAATTTGAAATACAATAAAAGCTATATAATTAAGATTTGATGGCATATCTTTTGGAAAAACAATGGGATCTGTTATTTGGATAGAAAAAAGTTATGGCGAACAAACGGAGAAGCTTATTATGCGACACCCTGTATATTTATTTATTCGTTGTTTCCTTAACTCGCATATTCTGCTAAAGACAAAACATTTTAATCACATATTGTGGAACTCACGTATATTTTCGAAGAAAATAGTGAGTGTAAGTTTTAAGTTCAAGGTTTCGCGGTTCTCACCCTTCCTCCCCCCATCCCCTTATAGACAGGCCCCTATTACAGGCCTTACCGACCAGGTTTAAAATAATGGATGTACATATACATATATATATATCATATATAACAGTTTCAGTCGTCATATAATTCAATGCGTCTAATAATAAAAATGTAAAATTAAAGAAAAAAGAAGTGTTAAAAATGAAAAATACTGAGCGAATAGCAACAAAGAAAACGAAAAATAAGGACGGCTGTCAGAAAATTAAAAAATTCCTGCTTTTATACTATCTACATTTCATATTAGTATAATGAAGCTGAAGAATATACGTGAGTTCCATATTTCAGCCCCAAAGGAGCTGCGCTAACAAGCTTTTTTTTCTCTATTTACATATGCTTCATTGTAAAACTTTTATACATTCTTTTTCGTTTTGTTTGTCGTCGTACACTTATTAAATAAATCTGTAATCATGAACAAAGAAATTTGATGTTGTTCATTAGCCTAGTAACAATTGTGGAGTTATTGAATCAGTTGAGATGTATTCTATCCATAGTATGATTTGTTTTTTTTTGTTCGCTTGAAAAAAATTATCACAGATACAAAATAAACATGGTTACTTCATTTACTTCGGTTGCTAATTTACTTATAGCTTCGTATATTGTGCTGTTTTGCTCATCAAGAATCTCCGATGAAGGTCTTGTTAAAAACAAAAATAGCTTTTAGCAATTATGAATGTACGATTTGCTTTGCAGAGTACTGTTATCGACAAGAATTTTTATTGTCTCATATATCTTCGATATTTGTTGCGTCAAGTTACCATTGATTTTACACTATATCCATTTATACTATTTCAGTGCTATTACCATCAACGCGATAGACACTCAATATATCCGTATTATTCTAAAAGCATCAGAAGAATTCATTAATATTTTTGGAATGTGATAGAAGACAGTCCGTAAACAACAATAATGATTCATGTAACGAAAATGTTTTGCATGTGTTGCAAAATATGATATATTCCGTTTAATGGCGATGCAGCATAAACACGTTCAAAGAATTTTCCAGTAAAACAATCGCAAATCAAAGTGAGCAAAGTACAAAGTGATAGAGAATCTCAAGCTGCATCAGTATATATAATTACTTTTTTCAGAAAAGTTAATCCTATTTTATGATAAGTTAGAAAAAAGACTAAAACGTGGTAAAAACATGCAGTTTTAGAAAATATGAGGATGAGGGTGCCTTCATGGTACTCAAAATAATTTTTATCAAATAAATGCAAGTCAAGATGTTTATATATAGGGTGATAGAGAATTCCAAGCGTTATCAGAATACTGGATTATTTTTCTAAACGTATATCTTTGTAAGGAAAATGTCAAGAAAAAACTGTATGCAATTATTTTTTTCCATGGGTAACTATATTAAAAAGAGTCCTTATAAAGATTAAAATAATTTTTTTACTAAATAGTTATAAAAAACAATAAATATCGAATTTTTAAAACTAAATTAATTGGAATCAACAATTTAGTTAACTTTATTCTTAATCCAGTAAAATCAGTTTTTTTTATATAAGTCTAAATTATCAATTATTAATAATATAATTTATAATGATGAGTTTATAGTTGATCGATTATAATCGATTTTTTCATAGAGAATCTTTTTTAAATAGATCTGCTCGAGTAATGATTAAATCATTGATTAATTATTCATTCTATTTCAATCATCTGATTGAACGTAACCTGGTCAATATAATTTCAAAAAATTCCTACTGGAATTTCAAATTTCTAAATTTGCTAACTTTAGATGTGTCGTGACTGACATATCATAGGATACTGAAGAAAAAAAAAATAGAAAGTTGGGTTTTATATTCAACTATTGAAAAATGTAATTTTATGTTCAGACCACATGATTAAAATGGATCAACACATTTTTATGGATTGAAACAGATTATTATCTAAATAAAATTCAACAGATAATATATTGAAGTCGTTCAAATTAATTTGCAACTTAAAAAGAGATGAAGAATGATACAATCTAATTAGATTGAGCAATCTTCACATCAATATTTGATGATAACGATGTTTTTATTGTGCTTTAGATTTTTAAACAAACAAATGCAATTCAAAATATTTATACATAAATTTGTAGAGAATTTGATGATTCATTAGAATCTATATAATTAATTTTTAAAAAGTGACAATTCTTAGTAACAATATGTTAAACATAATAAATATAACTATTTTTTTTCAAATGAAAATTTTTGGTCTAAAATAATCATATCTTGTTGAAAATATCATTTCAATATTTTATTATCTATCATCTATATACATAATGTTCAGTATGTTTGTGTGCAGGTCAAAGGTTAAAGCTTCTAGAATTTTCTAGACCTTTCCAGAACGATATACAATTAATCCTAAAAGTGAGAAAGTTATTGTTATTTTTTTTCGTTATTAATAACAATAATATTAACTGTTTTCTTCGAAAAAATCAATCAAATAAGTCTAAGTATAGTTTTTACGAACGTCAAAGGATTACTTTATTCATATAGTATCTTTTCTCACCATTTGATATAAGAACTTGTCGCAAATATTTTGAGAAACGGTAACATAACATATTTTTGTATCGTTATTGCTATATAACAATAACAAAATATATCATGTAGGTGTGGATGGGTGTGGGTGTGTGTGAGAGTGTGGGTGTAGGTTTGATTCCACTCTGTTACACCGATACCGACGCTCACACCCACCCACACATCCACACCTATACCCACCCATACCCACACACACCTACGGGGGATTCTATGCTATAAGTTTGAAGTCTTTACATCGAGCTTACACTGATTTCTGAGTAACATACTGAGAATGGACGGTTTTTGATAATACCCATGTTTATAGGGAGATAGGCCTAGTTCTGCAATGGCTCAATGAAATTCAATGAATTTTTTATCAGAGATAGCCAATATACAGGGCTACAAAACGACGAAAGCCCCAGCTCACAAGGTTTGTCATTCCCAAGTTATAGAGTCCACAGTGGAGATAGGCCGCCTGCTCTATAACTATCTTATAACTCATACTTTAGGGACATGGGGTTCGCCACTGACCTACATTCACCGAGAACAACATACACCTCAATTTTCAGCTCAGTAGATTGTATAGTGGCTGAGATCCAAGGGGGAGGGGGGGGCTACTTTTGTCAGGTAGTGTAAGTACATGCACCATGCACCAAATGATACTACAAGGTGCTGTGGTGTTCATAGAATTTTGAAAAACAATAATATGGCGGTATGGCTTTCTATTTTAGAAAAATGGATTGTCTTTTTCATGTATACTGATCGAAAGAACATTTTAGATATCGTTTGAAATCAGGATAATGTAATACACATATAGTAAAAAAGCATACAGTGAGTATATGGCTATGATTATCGTCATCAAAAGTACCTGTACTTGATTTTGTTCTGAATAAAATACAAATTAATTCATTATATCTTTTATTGACATAATAAAGTTTACTGTAATCCATCAAGCTAATATGGATGTGGAGTTGAAGTTTTACGTTCACATGCAATGAAGATTGTAAAGATGACAAAAATTATAATTCGTTGAAGATATTCAAAAAGTGTTGAGTATAAGAACAACTTTCATCTTCCCGTAAGATCTGATAGAAAGTCTTGTTTGCATAAGATCCTATAGCATCTGATGATCTGACCTCTGTTTTTTTCACGTAGTTCGTCTATTGAATTCTGCAGACAACCCAAAATTATTAATTAAATGAATAACTTTTACTTTTTATTCTTAGATTATTGATAATGATAAATTGAACAGTAGGAATTAGCTTTCTTAGGTAAACTTTTCTTTTGTTTTTAGATTATTTATAATATTATATGAAACAGTAAGTAATTATTTATTAACATAATTTTTTTGAATAATTTTTTAGATTATTTTATAATGATAAATCAAACAGTATATATGAATTTGTTTAAATATTTTTTTTCTTTTTAGATTATCTATAATAATATATCGGACAGTAAATAATTATTCACTTGCATAATTTTTTTTTCAGATTATTTATAACAACCAATCCAAAAATAAGTACTAGTATAAATTAGTGGTGGTGCCACATCTGACTGGAGGTTCCAAGTCTTTGTTTTACTCGTACAACTTCGATGATATATGAGTAAAAACAAAGAATTGGAATCCCCAGCCAGACGAGGCACCTAAATAATAGTTTTTGCATTATTTAGAGAGCGAAGGGGAGGGGGGGGGCAGATATGAAAACTTTATGTGAAACACGATATCAATCAAAATTGAATACGATCGTGTACGGTCGTAATTCTGGCGGCAAGTAACGGTAAAATACGGTCACAGAAATATACGATCGTAATACGGCCTCATGTATTACGGAGAAATACGGGACGTGTACGGGCGTATACGGACTTCGTATTTGTCGACCTGGGTAGAAATAATTTCAATAATAACTTTTTTTATTTTAATTTTATTTTAAAGAAAATCAAGCAATAAAAGCAATGAATGAAGATAATGTCTACCCACGTGACAAAAACCAAATCAGTTTTTAGCAGTA